AGAGAGAGAGAGAGAGAGAGAGAGAGAGAGAGAGAGAGAGAGAGAGAGAGAGACATAGGAGCGATACAAGTTTGGTTGTGCAGTTCCACGAAGGAGAAGGTGGCAGCCATAGTTGCCGAGCTCGGACATGGAGTGACGAAGGAGGAGCAGTAGTAGAGAAGGAGGGAGAGACTGAGAGAAGTAAGGAAACCATAGCCGAGGAAGGTGAAGGGAGAGACGAAAAAAAATAAAAGGAGAAAGAAGATAACCGGGGTGAAAGAGAAGAAAGAGGCAAGGAAGGAGAAAGGAAGGAGGGAGAAGAGACAACGGAGGTTGGTGAGGAGGAAGAAGACGACAGCCATAGCCGGGTGAAGCGTTGACCGGAGTTGACCGGGAGTTGACCGGGGGTTGACCGGGGGTTGACCGCAACGTTGACCAAGGTGCGGACCAGCGTTGACCAAGCGTTGACCGGAACTGTTGACCGTCAGTTTGACCAAGCTAGAGTTGGTATACTCTCGCCAAGCCCTCAGCCTATCCCCTCGCCCTATGGATGTGCACATATCCTGTGGTACTTGCTGAGTCTGCCTGTCTCTTCTTTCTGCATCGAGTGTCTTCTGTCCAGGTGTAGGAACTCTGTGTATGAAGGATAGGGCCTTGTTGACCAAACCCACACGGGCTGAGTAGGGCTAAAGAATGTGTCTGACGACTCGACTGTCCTGGAGGACACAGACCCTCCCAAGGACCGGTACTGACCGACAGGCTGCTCGGTGTGGCACGGTAGGCCCAAAATCCGAGTTGTGGGCTGCACAACATGCCGTCTAAGTCTTGAGAGGACTTGCTGATCGCGTCGTCCTGTCTGCGACGTTTAATAATTCCTGAGGAGTTACGTGGGATCTCCTTAAATGCCTCCTGATCAGCAGTGAGTCCTGTAGTGACGGCCATAGTTTAGGTCTAGGCTAGTGACCCTAGTTGACAAGATCCTATCCGGATTCTGTGGTCCATATATTGAGTCAGTTAGGTTGTGTGAGTCAGGGGGTAGAAGTCTAAGTGGTGAGGAGTGGAACTACTGTCTAGTTGTGCGCCTGACACCATGGTTGACCTCTGTAGTGGGAAAAGTACTACCCCTTACACCCAGGCTCAAGAGGAGCAAACCACCGCCATCTTGAAAGAGAGAAAAGAGAAGAGGGAGAAGAAGGAGCTCCTTAAGCATGCGAAGTTAAAGATAATAGCAGAGGAGCAGGTGGCGAAGAAGAAAAAGTTGGAGGAGGCGATGAGGAGAGTACAACAGGAGGAGGAAGAGAAGATTAGGGCTGCAGTAGAAGAGGAAGAAGAGGAGGAGCAGCCAGAAGAAGAAGAGCAGGCCTTCGAAAGGAGGCGTACGGAAGGAAGAGGAGAAAGCAGTGGCACGAAGGGGGATGACCTGTGGGTGGAGAAGAAGATCTCAGAGTGGGTGGCTAATTTATCCTTGGGAAAAGATGAGGAGGCGATTTTGTATGTGCCGCAGGAGGAGAAGGAAGCAGCAACAAGGGAGATCGAAGCGGCGAGTGATCCCGTAGAATGCCAGACCGTAAAAAATAAGAAGAAGTTAAAATGGAAGTTGCGTCTGGCGAGAGAGAAGAAGAGGAGAATGGAGGAGGTTAACCAGGTGGCCAGGGAAGTGGAGAGTTTGCAATCGTGTAGACAAGAAGTAGCAGCCCAGCCTGATATACAGGCTAAGTTAGACAAGATCCTTGGGAGCATTGAGCTCCTAGGTCGTGCCTGGATTGAACAACATCCGTCTGTTAGGGGCCAAGACAAGGCCCTCCATTCCATCCGGACCGGGTTTCGAGAGTTTGCGCGCGACGTGGTGACCCACGTCGGGACCGAAGTTAAGAGGCTGAAGGAAGGCGCAGACAAATTCTGTGCAGGCACCATTGAGGGCGCCGAAGTAGTGGCCACGAAAGAGGTCACAGCGCGTCCCCGCAAAGAGTCTGTCAAGCTCACGTTTCCTGATTCTTATAGCGGGAAAAAGGTCGACAACTTTGATAACTGGGAGGCCAGTGTTAACACATATGTGTATTTGCAACATATAGCGCCAGAGAAACAAGTCCTCGTGGTTTTCCATGCGCTGAAGGATGAAGCGGCCAGCTTTGCCAGGTCCCTTTCGCGCGCAACCGATTGTGAGCACAATATGGTGGCGTACTCTAGGCTCACATCTCTTCTTACGTTCCACAAACTTTTGAGAGAGAGGTTGACGTCACAAAAGGCGTCAGGGTCTCTGATAAGCTGCAAATCATCCACTCTAGGCAGTGGAAGAATGCGAGGGCACTCAAGGCCGTGATGGACGATCTGGTAGCCATCCCAGATCACGAGGTCACTAAGACCCAGTTATTTAACTTGTTTTATCGTGCCATGCCAGAGCCCCTGCGAGGACACTTCTTTGACAAGACCCAACAAACCAATATTACGTACGATGCGTTGAGTAGAAAAGTGGTCTTGTTCGAGGCAAAGTCCATGCCAGTTTCCACTTTCTGGCATAAGGACTTGGACAAGGGAAAGAAGTGGAAGGGACGTACCATCTCAGGACAGGTTAGTGACAAGGATCATTTGATCCTTACGTTAGATGAGGGCGGTACGGACGAAGTCCCCTATAGTCAGATTGAGTGGGGGCTAGAAGAGGAGGACAATAGTGTAGGTCAGGGAAGGACGTACGCTGCTGTCGCTGCTGGAGGGAGGCCGCAAGGTAGAGGAGGAGGCCAGGGCCAAGGGGGCCGGGCCATGGGTGGTCAAGGTCCAGGCGCATAGGGGGTTGGCGGTCAAAGGAACCGTCAAGAGCGAGGTAGGGTTCAAGGTCCTCGCCGAATCGCTCAGGGCCCAGTCGATCGCCTCAGCGTAGAGGTGGAAGATCACCTCAACGGACAGGAGGATGGCACCCTGGTTGGCCACAGAGCCGACCTTGGGAAGATTTGGGCTTAGACCAGCATGTGTGGCAACAGCGAATGGAGCAGGGGCAATGCATTTACTGCGGTGGCCCTGCCCATATTATCAAATATTGTCCTAAGTGTAAGGAAGCCCGTTTCGCTGCCCAAGGGTCAAAAGGCAGCCGCCGGTAGGGGTTGCAACTGCCCCTACCACTAGGTCATATGGGGAAATGTGCACGCACCACCAGGAAACTCCCACACCACATGAGCCTTTGGCAGAGGTTGCAGGCCAGTGCCTAGTTAGCTGTCTAGAGACTGTCTGTGTTAGAGTCTCTCTAGGCACTTCCCTCACAGGTCTGGCAGAAGAGTTGAAGGAGAGGATGCCGCCTGGACCAAAATGAAGAAAGAGAGTAAAGGACGACTTGTTTTAGTAGATTTAGAAGTACAACAGAAAAATTCCCACGAGAAATGAAAGTTGAAAAAACATTCTATAAAAACAAAATGATAAAACATCCTTCATATTTATAAATTATCATTCCAATGTTCGTCAAATTCTAAAATTTTCAGTTTTATTTGATAAGTTTCCGTCTAAATATGAGTTTTCCCTTCCAACTACATCTATTTGTTCAAGATGGAATGAAAGTCTTGACGAGTTTATGACTAATTAAATTTTCATTCTACTACAAGAAATATCTTATAATTTAGATTGGATTAACCTATTTATGACTGAAAATCCTTACTTAGAATGACAGTCCAATTAAAATATTTCGTGAATTCGTCCACACTTTCATTCCATCTCTACCATGCATTTCAAATAAGAAGGGATACCCCATTCTTGGAAGAAAAGTTTCCAAGTAAGACGATAAATTTTAAAATTGGAATGACATTTTTAAAGATAGAATGAAAATTTAAAATTTAGAATGTAATTTCACTATAGAATGATTATTTAATTGAGGGAAAGTTTTCCGTTGTATTAAGGAGCAGAGTAGGGACCCTTATAGATACAGGGGCTACTCGTAGTTATATCAGCCGTGGAGCGTTGAAAAAGCTGAGGCTATGTCTGAAAGTCCAAAAATTGGAAGACCCCATAGTCAGTATCCTCGCAGACAATCGCACGATGCGTGTCGAGGATTATGTAGAGGGAGTCCAGGCGTATCTTCGCTTAGAAAAGGATGGGAAAGTTGAAAAAGTTCTTCATTCCCTGACTCTCCTCGTAGAAGACATAGTCCTAGATATGGACTGGGAAGAGGCAGCAGTGGCCACACTCCACTTAAGAGAGCATGAGTGTAGGCTCCCTAGTCCGTTGGGCGAGGTCAAGACTGCCCGTCTGTTCCATGTGTCAGGAGTAGACAACTCCCTGGCACATTGCTGTCTTAGTGCTCTCGCGTTTGCGCGATTAGTAAGATAGGAGCAATTAGAGGAGCAAGTCTTCGTAGCCTACGTAAGGCCTGTCACTGAGCCTAAGGAGGATAAGCCAATGGATCCAACCATTGCCCAACTGCTGGAAGATTTTAAAGACTTAGCAGAGATGCCGACAAGAGTAGTACTGCGACCGATCCAGCACCGGATAGAGATAGAGCGTGGCAGTAGGATTCCTAAGGGAGCAGTCTACAGGATGTCCCCAAGGGAGTTAGAGGAGTTGCGCAAGCATTTAGATGAGCTCTTCGAAAAGGGTTGGATTAGGCCCAGTTCGTCTCCTTTTGGAGCACCAGTGTTATTTGTCCCCAAAAAGGAGGGAGAGTTACAGATGTGCATAGATGATAGGGTTCTAAATGCGATTACAGTAAAGAATGTTGAGTCGCTGCTCAGGATAGACGATCTATTAGATCGGTGCAGGGTTGCAGGTATTTTTCGAAGATAGATTTGAAGTCCGGGTATCATCAGATAGAGGTTAATCCTGATGACCAGTACAAGACTGCCTTCTGGACCAGGTATGGGCATTATGAGTTTATAGTGATGCCCTTTGGACTGACCAATGCGCCAACCACATTTCAGCGCTTGATGAATGATGTGTTTAGGCCTTGGTTAGATAGATTCGTTGTAGTTTATTTAGACGATATCTTAGTTTTCAGTAGGACCCTCCAAGAGCATCTGGGTCATTTGAGGCAGGTTTTGGAGAAGCTGAGAGAGGCTAACTTCAAGATCAATGCAAACAAGTGCGTGTGGGCCAAGACACAAGTTCTGTACTTGGGCCACGTCTTAGACGGAGACTGGATTAAACCTGAGGACAGTAAGATAATGGCGATTAAAGATTGGCCGACACCCCGCACACTGACCGAATTGCGGTCGTTCTTAGGCCTAGCTAACGATTATAGAAAGTTCGTTAGGAACTTCTTTACTATCGCTGCTCCCCTTCGTAGGTTGCTAAGGAAAGAAGTGATCTGGACGTGGGACAAGATTGTACATCCGCACTTAAAAAGTTAAAAGCGCGCATTGATAGAGTATCCTGTCCTCAAGGTGGCAGATCCGTCCTTGCCATTTGCCGTCACCACGAACGCGAATCAGTATGATATAGGCGTCGTGTTGCAGCAGGACGACGACAATCACTATAGACCTATAGAGTTCATGTTAGAGAACTCTACGCTCTCAGGCAGGCCTTTGAGCACTGAAAGCATTACCTGCTTGGGCGACACTTCAAAGTATATTTAGACCACAAGACTCTTAGGTGGCTGAAGACGCAGGCCAAGATGACACCTAAGTTGACTAGGTGGGCCGCTGAGATAGACCAGTATGACTTTGAGATGAAGCCTGTTAAAGACAAGTACAATGTAGTTGCGCATGCTCTAAGTAGGAGATCAGACTGCTTTGGAGCTATAGTCCACTATCTGGATATAGGGACAGACCTGCAAGCGAAAATACGACAGGCGTATGCGCAGGACCCTAATTATGGTGACCTTCTCAAAAAAGTTAAGGAGGCCCCAAAGACTGAACCACATTACCGCACTACAAAATGATTACTATTCAAGAGGACCGACGTAGTAGACCATCTATGCGTTCCTAACAGTGAGGAGATCCATAGTTTGATCCTAGGGGAATGTCACGACACAGAGGGACATTTTGGTTGGCAAAAGACTTTAGCCAATCTGATGCATACATACACTTGGCCAAAAATGAAAGATGACTGCATAGAGTATGTTCGCAGTTGCAAAGTCTGCCAAAGGAATAAGACAACTACATGTGCCCCTCTAGGTCTTCTCCGACCCTTGCCTATTCCTGACCAGCCTGGGGATTCAGTCTCCATTGACTTCATGGATGCTAACGTCAAGAGTAGGCACGACAAGAGCCAAGTCATGGTTATAGTTGATAGGTTTAGTAAATACGCTATCTTTGTTCCTTTGCCTGCAGAGGCACGTACTGATCTAGTAATTCAGAAGTTTTTTTATCATTGGGTGAGTGATCGCGGGATTCCGTTGTCTATAGTTAGCGATAGAGACACCTGGTTCATTAGTCAGAACTGAGAGTAATTGATCAAAGTCTATGGGTCAAAGTTGCTGATGTGATCTGGCCGTCGTCCAGAGACTAGCAGTTAGACTGAGCAAATGAATAAAATCCTACAACATGTTTTGTGCATGTATATTAGATCGGATCAGATCAACTGGGATGAGATGTTGCCCAAGGTAGCCAGTGCGTATAACAATAGCGTGCACTAAGTCAATTGTTGCACTCCCAATGAGTTGCACAAATCCTTTAGACCCCTCAGACCGTTTGAAGGACTTAACCAGGATAAGATTCATAGGCTACCGCCCGGGACTAGGGAGTTTGCGATACAACACGAGAGGGAGATAGCTACCATTGTCGAGAACCTCAGGAAGGCCCAACACCGAATGATAGAGCAGGCTAACAAACACCGTCACCCATCACAGTTTCAAGTAGGCGACCTAGTCTGGGTCAAGTCTAAAGAGTTTGATCCTGAGGAAAACATTTCGCAAAAGTTACTGCCAGCGTACAGAGGACCGTGGCCAGTTCTAGAAGTTAAGGGCGGAGAGGATGGGCTGTCCTATACGATAGAGATCCCAGCACACCTCCATACCTACCCTGTGTTTCACGCGTCAAAGTTGTTGCCATGTGTCACCAGCTAACAGTTCCATCAAGAAGATCCATGATCCCTCCGGACATGGATGGAAGGTATGACATTGAGGGCATTGTAGGTGAAGACGTATTCAGAACAGGAGGTAGAGGTCGTTCACAGAAACAGTACAAGGTCCGATTTGCTTATGAGGAACCCGAGGACGACCGTTGGTTCACTGGAACTGAACTTCTAGAAGCAGCTCCCGACGTTAAGCCTATGAGAGAGAAAAGAAAGGTAAAAATCCGGTCTTGGACTGAATTATTCTCGGAGGACCTCGAATTTAGGCCGGCGGGAGTGAAATGGTATTCACCTGTTTGCAGTAGCAATGCGGATCCCCCGGCTCGATCCCTAGTTCCTACCCTACCTGTGTACAGTACCTGTGTCGACCCCGAGAGTTGAACCCGTGACCTGAGTGTTCGCAACAGTAGATAGGCTGTCGTAGGTCCAGAGGTTGTAGGGGTTCGATCTGTAGACCTGTCGGG